TTTGCCAACCTTTCCTAAGAGATGCATCACATGTGAGTAGAAAACACTGACGATACTGAACATTTTGGAGTTTTTTTTTCTTTCTTTCTTAAAAGATACTCCCAGCAGTGTAGCTCTTCTTTAAAGTTTCTGCAACCCTCTTATTTTCTACTTATATTAGTATTACAATAATGAGCCTAGCCAGGAATTTTATTCAAATACATTCCAAAACCAAACCCATTGTCTTCAAGTCAATTGACTCATAGTGACCCTATAGAACAGAGTAGAACTACCCCATAGGGTTTCCAAGGAGCAGCTGGTGGATTTGAACTGCCGATCTTTTGGTTAGCAGCTGAACGCTTAACCACTGTGCCACCAGGGCTCCCAATACATTCCAGTAGGCTGCAAATAATTTGTTTTACCCTATGTGAATTGGTCCAGGTTATCTCCCTGACAAAGACAACCCACATTCGTCAGGAATTTTTTGGTTGCTAGTGACAGAAGCCAAACTTGAACTGATTATTTTAGGATATTATTGGAAGGGTGGGTGTCTTAACGCTAACTTGCACATGAAGCAGGGGAGCAGCTGTGTGCAAGGACAGCTGGAACCAGGAACTCAGCTGAAGCTGAGACTCATACTCTCTACCTCGGCCTCTCTCTCTGCATTCCCATCATTCCCTTTTCTGCAGCCTCAGGGCCTCTACCGTCTTCCATGGCACTTCTGTGCAAATGAAAAAAATGATCCTCTAGATGATGCAGTCTCACAGGTGCGTAGTTTGGAGAGCAAAAGGTACCTTTGTGAAAAGGAAAAACCAGTACCAGTTGCCAAAGGCATCCCTTTTTGGTGAGCAGAAAGCAAACGAGATTTCAGCCCACACTCAGGTCATCACCTGGGCATCTTTGCACAGTGCACAGGCTACACAACTGAACCTAGCGGCCAGCATGGCCCCTAATTTCTTGTAACTTCTGTAATGGATTAAATCATGCTTTCTCTAGGCCTAAGGTCAGGTGACCACGTTCAAACATTCTGTGAATAGACTCTAACTGACCCAGCTAAGATCAGGTGACCACACATGAACCAATAAAATCTTTTTATTATACCTATACCTTATTTCTCTCCACTACTGAATTTTTGTTAGCAAAATAACTGGTATAAATATCAGATTGCTTCTTCATTTGTAACACGTTTCAACTCTCAGAAATAGGAAAGACAAGATCTTTAAAACTCTGTTAGCCTTGACTTTTTTGTACTTCTGATAAGATCCTTCACTTAGCTTCACAACTCTCAATCCAGTTACAGAGTCGTAGCTTGAAATAAGGAGACCTGATGGCACAGTGGTTAAGCGCTCAGCTGTTAACCTAAAGATAGGCAGCTCAAACCCACCAGCTGCTCCGCAGGAGAAAGATATGGCAGTCTGCTTCTGTAAAGATTTACAGCCTTGGAAACCCTATGGGGCAGCTCTACTCTGTCCTGTAGGGTTGCTGTGAGTCAGAATCGACTCAATGGCAACAGGTTTAGCTTGAAACAACTGCTTTCTCTACATTTTACATCAATTCCAGATTTTATTATTGTTGTTCTTATTCTCCGCTTTCAGCAAAGATCCATCTGACATCAGCAACGATATCCGTCTTCTGAATCTGGCTTGAATTTCTAGCAGTTCCCTGTCGATGTACCACTACAACCACTTTTGAATGATCTTCAGCTAAATTTTACTTGCATGTAATATTAATGATATTGTTTGATAATTTCCACATTCTGTTGGATTTCCTTTCTTTGGAATGGGCACAAATATGGATCTCTTCCATTGTTTGGCCAGGTAGCTCTTTTCCAAATTTCTTGGCATAGACAAGTGAGCAGCTCCAGCGCTGCATCTGTTTGATGAAACATCTCAACTGGTACCCCATCAATTCTGAAGCCTTGTTTTTCACCAATGCCTTCAGTGCAGCTTGGACTCCTTCCTTCGATATCATTGGTTGTTGATCATATGTTACCTTCTGAAATGGTTGGATGTCGACCAATTTTTTTTGGTACAGTGAGTGTGTATTCCTTCCATCTGCTTTTGATGCTTCCTGTGGCATTCAATATTTTGCCGACAGAATCCTTCAATATTGCAACTTGAAGCTTGAATTTTTTCTTCGGTACTTTCAGATTTACCTTGATTAATTACTGTTGACTGTGATAATGATGAAGATGAAATATGCAGTTTTCGTCAGTATCATTCTTGGCTAACTAAACATATGCTCAGAAATATTTGAGAAAACTGAGAACACGGGTTTCTATTTTGACATAATTTTCAAACAACTGTAGTTACCTAGGGGGAGTGGGGAGGAAGAGCCCACCTGACTACAGCTGTAACAGTGGAAGAGTATAAAAGAATAAGTGTCAACATGAACAAACAGATTTATTCAGGCAAGAAGACCACCAGTCAGATAGGAATAATGCTATTCCAGTGTCGTCAACTGAATTATAACGAAGTGCTCATAGTTTAACTTTGTCTTTTCTAACTCCTTGATAAATGTACCATTGTAAAACTATGACAGAATACAGTGTAGATAGCTGGTATCTGATTGTTACAACGTTCTTCTTTCCTCTGGGAATTTGGAAGGAGGCACATTCCTTGACCACCCTACACACTCTCTAGCTTTATCTTCCCTGGGTGATCTGTTTAACTGCTCCAAGGGTTTAATCCTCCACCTATATGCTGATGATCCCCAAATCTCTCTCTGCATCCCAGAGCCTCATTCTTTAGCTCCAGACCCATGTAACCAATGCCTGATGAATCTCTCCGCTCACATGTCATCTTAAAAAAAAAAAAACAAAAAAAACCCATTGCAGTCAAGTTGATTGCTACTCATAGTGACTTTATGAGACAGAGTAGAACTGCCCCATAGGGTTTCCAAGGCTATATATAATCTTTAAAGAAGCTGACTGCCACATCTTCCTCCCATGGAAAGGCTGGTGGGTTTAAACCACTAACCTTTTGGTTAGCAGGAGAGCAGTTAATCACTGCACCTCCAGGTTCCCAGGTGTCATCGTAGGACTTCAAACTCAGTATATCTAAATGCAAACCCCTTCCCTCCCCGCTGACCTGCACTCCCTCCTACTCCCCTGTTAACTACCCTCTGGCATTTCCATCTCAATTGTTAGCACGGCCATCTTGCTAACCAGCCACCCAGGCCACAAACCCTTGTAGCTGCCTTCTCCGTCTTCTTCACCACTCACTTTCCAGTAAGTCAGCCAGCACTGCTGCATCTCCTTCCTTCCTTTCATTCAAATAATCCCTCTCATTCCCTCTATGCAGCTGTCTCTGTCATTGCTCAGGCCCTCTGCTTCCTCCTAGCCCACCCCACGCTGCTGCCAGTGGACTTACTAATCACTGTAGCCATTGCACTAACCCATTCATAGCCTCCTGCATGATAAAACCCATACTCTTTAGCTTGCCAACAAGGACTTAATGATCACACACAGAGCTTGCTTCTGTTTGGGGTGCCCTGCACCTGTGAGTCACTCAGAGATCACTTCACAGGTGTTCAGTAAATCCCAGTTGAATCAATAATCACCATCAAGTTTTCAGTATGGTGCTGTTTCCCGTTCTAACCCCCTCTCCCAGCATTCGTCCATCCATATCCTTCACTCCAGCCGTGGGTCACTTCTTGTGGCTTCCGCTAGTTATGAACTATCCTTGCCTCCCTGTCTTTGCAGAGAGTTGAAATGACTTGTTCAAGAACCCAGCTTTATCATGTGTGACCCTGAGCCAAGTACTTAATCCCACTTGGCTCAGTTTCCTTATCTATAAAATAGAGCAAATACCTACCTCAAAAACTGTAATAAGAATAAAATGAGATAATATGCGGGAAAAAAAGTGTGTACACTGTAAAAGCACTATAAAATACTGTTTTGTGACTCATCAAAGTCTGTCTTGAATGCTACCACCTCCAAGCAGCCTCTTCTTTCTGACTCCCTAAGCAGAAACCATCCTTCTCTTCTCTTAGGTCCCACCATACACAGCCCATACCCTCCTTAAGTTATCTGAGTTCCTGTGTGAACTACAACTACACATGTGAAGTCATCATCCATTCCTATTTTATGGCTCTCGCTCAACACCTGCCTAGATCTCAGGGGTTTAGAATCTTATAAAGAGAAAGAACTTCTGAGATTTGAGGAGGTGGAGGCAAAAAGTTCCCAGTGGTGAAGTACCATGGAGGCTTCTGTTTGGGGGTGCCTTCAGGATCACAGATCAACCACCAGCTCATTTGTCCATCCAGTAACACGCACTGCTGAGCTGGAATGACAATAACTGGCCCTATGCTTCCACTCTTAATGCCCAGGCCAGTATCAGACATTGCTAATCAATCACAGACTCTGTCCCTTGAGCCTGGACAGTTTCAGTGTATTTTTCAGCACAGCTCCAGGCAGCCACAACTAGTTGATCAATTTTAGCACAATAGATAAAAATCACGTACCTAAATTGCTGGCCTGAAGTCATGCACAGTGAGATAAATGGCTACAACAGGAAGGCATCGTTCAGACCTAGCCAGTGAGTTAATTAAACTTGGAGGGGCAGGTGACCCTGGCTGCTGGCTGATGTCAGCCTGCTACTAAGGACAAATGTCCAGCCTACACTTATGCAAAGAGGTTTTGCCCCAAACGTAAAGGTCGGGGATTCCCAAAGCCACCGCTCCCAGGAGCCCCTTTTGATGGAGGAAGAATCTAAAGGGCCTAGTTTCCCATTAAATGCCCCCACCTCAATTCCCTTAGTGCCCAGCCACTTGTTTCACTGGGCTTCTGTTCTTTAAAAAAGAGCCAACACAGTGTCTGGCTTCTCTCTGACAAAGAGCTTACGTGTAATTAAAAAGGATTATACTTCGAAGGGGGAAAGTGGCCTTTAATCTCCAAGAGAAGGACTCAGCAGCCTGGGCTGGAGGTGCCCTGGGTGGCATTTATGTGCATTGCTGTCCCCGAGCCTCAGCCACAGACGACAGCTCTGGAGTGACCTCCTGGTCTTCCGTTGGTGGCCAGTATGGGCTTCACCAGACAGATACAGCTTCTGCTCTGGAAGAACTGGGCCCTGCGGAAAAGGCAAAAGGTAACAGGCACATATTTGCTGTCTCTGCTGCCCCGTGGTCTGAAAGTGAGGTGTGGTGCTAACAAATCGTGGGAGAGAGTGAGGTAGGGTGAGGAGTGGAGGGGGTGGGGCGGGAGGGTAAGGAGCCAGTGGGCTTGTTTACATTTAGGACTGAAGTGGCGTTTAACTGTCTGACTGTGGTTCCCTGAGCCTCTCTGACAAGTGCCCTTCACAAGCTGACAGGCTTCTCTGTCCTGAGATGAACACTTTCCACCCACAGTCCTGCATGTCCACATTACAGTCTTTCGACCACCCTGACTATGAACCCATTGTCTGCCTGTCTTAGTTATCTGAGATGTGTCCAATTTCAGAGATGTTAAAAAGTAAAAAAAGTGTGTGCAATGTAGAATCAATGAAATATGGAGTCACTGCGCCGGGAAGCTCTTCAAGGCCATTCTTGTTTTCTTTTGAGCCTCTTCTTCGGGTCTTAGGGTTCTTCCCACTGCACAGCATAGACACTCAAGAGTGCAGTGGATTGGATTGGCATAATACCACACGTGGGTGGCTGTAATGAACAGAAATGTATTTTCTCACAGTTTAGGAGGCCAGAAGTCTGAATTCAGGGCACTGGCTCTAGGGGAAGGCTTTCTCCCTCTCTCTGTCGACTCTGGGAGAAGGTCCTTCTGTCTTTTCAGCCTCTGTTCCTCAGTTCTTTCGGCGATCTTCACGTAGTGTGTATCTTCCCCATCTGTGCTTGCTTGCTTCTGTGCATAATTTGCTCTCTCATATCTCAAACGTGATTGATTTAAGAGACACCCTACACTGATATGGCCTCATTAACATAATAAAGAAACTGTATTCCCAAATGGGATTATATTCACAGCCATGTCGTTGTTGTGTGCCCTGAGTTGATTCCAACTGACAGCGCCCTATAAGGACAGAGTAGAATTGCCCCATAGGGTTTCCTAGGCTATAATCTTTATGGAAGCAGATCGCCAGGTCTTTTCTCCTGTGGAGCTGCTGGTGGGTTCAAACTGCTGACTTTTCAGTTAGCAGCCAAGTACTTAACCGTTGTGCCACCAGGGCTCCTTATCCACAGGTATAAGGATTAGTATTCCAATACATAGTCTGGGGGGCCACAATTCAATCCGTAACACCACCTGTTTCATTCCTCTGCTAATCCAATCCACTGTACTCTTGAGCGTCCATGCTGTGGAGTGGGAAGAACCCTAAGCCCTGAGGAAGAGGCTCAAAGGAAAACAGGAACGCCTCTGAAGAGCTTCCCAGCTCAGTGATACCATATTTCATTCAGTCTACGTTGCATATTCTTTTTTCACATTTTAACATCTCTGAAACTAGGGTGCATCTCACAACTGAGTCACAGTTTAACTGGACACATTTTTTTCTTAGTGGTACAGAAAATAACAGTGCATCTGATGATAGATAGCATCTTAGATTCAATGAGGTGCAATCCATCATCAACCATCACAGACATTTACTGAGCCCTTTCAATGAGCACGGAATCCTTGGGTGATGTAAAGTGTTAGTGTAGTTGGCTGTTAACTGGAAGGTTGGAGGTTCTAGTCCACCCGGAGGCACCTTGGAAGAAAGGCCTGGTGATCTACTTCCCAAAAATCTGCCACTGAATACCCTATGGAGCACAGTTCTACCCTGACACATATAGCGTCACCATGAGGCAGAATCAACTCGATGGCGACTGGTAAACTGGTGGTTCAATGAACAAGCAAGGGCCTGGACTGCACTTGGTAAGATTTGGAGCTGAAATTCAGACCTTTAAGGAGAGAGCTCTATGAGGCTGGTGCTGGGGTCTCTGAGCTCAGAGCAGAGGCCATAGACTGACTGGGAGGTTTGGAGTTGAGAGACAATAGCTTAATAATGAGCACAAAAACAGAGCAGCAAGGGACATAATCCAGCCACGCACATAAATGGTTCTTTGCATAGCATGTGGCTTGGAGAGGGCGTAGGGAGCTGGAAGGGGGAATCCAGGTGACAGCCCACTTGTCTGGGGGAAGTACCATTGTCCTCAGACTGCTGTCCTTTGTCAACACTGATGTGATTTTGAAACCAGCGTTCAAGGTATTTGTTGCCAAGTGCTAATAGTAATCAGAGACTCAAGTCCCCCTTTTTTTCCTGGTGCTTCCCTTCTAAAATGACAGTATTTACAAATTTTAAACAAGGCTTATTATTAAAGTCATTCATTCATTCGTTTCTTCAGTCACCAAATACTTATTAATCACCGGGCACTGTGCCAGGTGCTGGGTACACAATGGTAAATAAAACCATCAGTCCCTGCTCCCATAATGCTTACAGTCTACGAAATGCCAAGAAAAATCCAGGATGCAACTGCTTTCTCTCCCTTTCCTGTAAGAAATTAAGATTCTCAGTTTATTTTTCTCTCAATGTGCTCTTCGTGGCCCTCAAAACATATACCCAGGGACTGTAGCTGCCGGCCCCAGATGATTCTATTTCTGTTATAAACATGTTGCTGGTCTACAGAAAAACCTTGTCTTCAAAGATAGGGTTTGACTCAGGTGCCCTCACACCTTGACTTCCTTTCCCTGCCATTGTTGGGTGTTTCCTCTATTCAGGGTTTTTCTCTATCCTCTCCACACTTGCCCCGTTGTCCCTGTTGTAAAAAGAGGCTGGGAGACTTAGCTGAGCACATTGCAACCCCTCTGCAGTGAAATTGGGCTTTTTAGGCTGAGAACCTTGGCCAGGGGCATTTTACAGGGCTGACATTCATTTGATTCCATTCCCAGTACCCGGAAATTGAAATCTCTGTCTGCGTGCCTGCAGCCAACTTCCCTACTGCTACCACATTCTGGGAATTTCCAGGATGTCTGGGTAAGATGGAGGCAGCCTTACTGCCCCCAGCAGTTCTGTGAGGGGTCTGTGGCTTCTTGTGTATGCTGCTTCTGGTTCTTCGAGAAACTTCTACCCCTAGAAGGCGGTGACTCAAAGAAAAGTCAAAAGCACCCCGTCCATATTTCTAGAGTTTTGACTTTTCAAACTTCTATGTTTTTAGGTGTT